AGGCCCCCTTTAAGAGGGTTGGGGTTGAGGGGCAGGCCTTGAAGGGGGGGTCTTGGGTGTAGGCCTTGGAGAAAGGTGAGGGGCTGAGGGGGATACCTTGAAGGGTGGGTTGGTCTGGGTGGGTAAGCCCTTGAGATGTGGTGGGGCTGAGGGGGATGGCCTTTTGAGGGGGGTGGTCTGAGTTTGATAGGCCCCTTTAGAGGGGGGTGGGTCGAGGGGGATAGGCCCCTTTAAGGGTGGTGGGGCGGTTTTTAGGCCCTTTTGGGGTGGTGGGTCTAGGGGGATAGGCCCCCGAGGGGTGGGGGGTTTGGGGGGATGGTCCTTGAGAGGGTGGGGGTCTGAGGGGGATAGGGCCCCTTTGGGGGGTGGTGGGGCAGGGATAGGCCTTGGAAAGGTTGGGGGTCTGAGGGGGATAGCCCCTTTAGAGGGTGGGGCCTGAGGGTGATAACCTTTAGAGGGGGGGGGTCGAGGGGGATAGACCCTTTTAGAGGGGGGTGGGGGAAGGTGATGGGGGCCCTTTAGAGGGTGGTGGGTCTGAGGTGATAGGGCCCTTGAGAGTTGGTGGGGTTTAGGGTGATAGGCCTTTGGAAAGGGGGGTGGGGGTTTAGGGGGATAGGCCCTTGAGAGGGTGGTGGGTTGGGATGATAAACCCTTAGAGGGGGGGGGTCTGAAGGTGATGGGGCCCTTTTAAAGGGTGGTGGTCTGAGGGTGAAGGCCCCCGAGAGGGGGGGTCTGAGGGGGATGGCCTTTAAAAGGGGGGTGGGTCTAGGGGGTTAGGGATTTTTAGAGGGTGATGGGGCTGAAAGGTGGCCTTTTAGGGGTGGTGGGTCTAGGGTGATAGGCCCTGAAGGTGGTGGGGTTTAGGGGAAAGGGCCCCTTTAGAGGGGGGTGGGTCTGAGGATGATAAACCCTTGAGAGGTGGTGTTTTCCCTAAAGGTGGTAAAGGGCCCCCTTTTCATTTTAAAAAGGGAATGATTTTAGCGGACAAGGGGGGTATGTAATATACATAAAAATGAAAAAAACCCGCGTAAAAATACTGTCTCTGGAAAATAGTCTTTGGTTTCTTCCAGCTGGAAAAACAACGTGAAAATACACCACCAAGATAAGAAGGTTTGATTTATTTGTAGTATTAAAAATGAGGGGGAAAATGCTTGTCGCAGCCTTGCAATGCTGACAAATAGTAATTAAATTATGGGAGCGCAAAACCCGTGGATTATACAGCGCATGTGGGGGGGGGAGGATGGGAAGGGATTTTAGGGTTCAGGGGAAACCCGAGCACGATAGTTTGATGAGCCCCCCCACCATTAGGTTAGGTAAGGTTCGTCAGGAAAAAAGGGCAAATGTTTTTGACGCGGGGCTTGTCAATGATGACCCGCCCCTTTTGGGCTTTTGGGCATTTACCGAGGCCTTCCCCCGGGTTAAAACCGGGCCCCCCTTTTAAAAAATTTTGGTCAATTTAAACCAGTTCCCCACCAGTGTTTAAGGAAAATCCCTTGAGGGGTCCCAAAATAGTAAGTGGGGGGAGTGCCTACGTTTTAGCAAGTGCAGGGGGACCTCCTTCCTCCCCACTCAGAGAATTAAAAAGGGAAAAGTGCAACTAATGTGAATTTTTTGTGGCAACGTTTCGCTCTCCAGGAGCTTTGTGAAGCCGATACAAACAGTATATGGACACAGAGGGTATATAAAGGCTCAGAGTGAGGTGTAATACTAGTGAGGTACCATTTCAATGTTCACTAGTAGTAGTAGTAGTAGTAAGTAGTAGTAGTGACAATATGGTTGAGCAGTTAATTCGTACATGAGTTGCACTGAACGTTTCTAAAGTACTTTCACAAGCTAACACCAGAGTCGCCATCGCTTCTAGCACTTCAATAAAGGATCTAACCAGGACAAAATCAAAGCACCACGAACCAGTCAATGCAACGGTTTACACTATACCCTGTGGAGGCTGTGACAAGATTTATATAGGTGAAACAGCAAGAAACCTCGACACCCGCTTCAGTGAACACATTTACGCATGTAGGAACGATAACTTGAACAACGCCTGTGTACAACACCGAAATTCCACCAATCATCTCATGAAATTCAGGGACTCCCAATTAGTGATCAAAGAAACTAATTTCCGCAGACGCAAGTGCCTCGAATCAGCACTGATCGCTGTTTCGAATACAATTAAACAAAACAACGGCAGCTTCACCATCTCTGAAGTCTTAGCAAGAATCCTCCTGAAAACAGTAAACCCTGCCATCACAGTCTCTCCTGTTATACTACACAAAGCACATTACAGAGAGTGAACACTGAAACAGGCTGCCTCTATCCAGTCTATATTTGTCCAACCTATTTTCATGTTACCCAAGTAATAGCTTTTATATCCTTTCACTCATGTACGAATTAACTGCTCTGCCATATTGTCACTACCACTACTACTACTACTACTACTACCACTAGTGAACATCGAAATGGTACCTCACTAGTATTACACCTCACTCTGAGCCTTTATATACCCTCTGTGTCCATATACTGTTTGTATCGGCTTGACAAAGCACCTGGAGAGCGAAACGTTGCCACAATAAAATGTCACATTAGTTGCACTTGTGTCCTTTTGTTTTACATATTGTCGGTAATTCTACCAACATTATTACACTCAGAGAGTTGCTGAAAACTGAAGACAAGAACAACTCTTCTGTCTTCATTAACATGTAAGCATCTTATAAGGTTACTTATAAAATTTAAGCACTGTCTTGCCCGTAGCTTATGTCCATTGTGTGGACCAGCCATTATAACAACACGGTTGACAGCCACTATGTTGCGTTAGCCAAACTCTGTTCAGTGTCCATATCTCTGCTACATTTTACGTTATATCACTGAAGACTTAGTTTCTGTACCTTGAATATCATTAATATAATCAAGTTAAGCGGTAAACTCAAAGAGAGCGGTGTCAGCTAGGTCATGTATGAACTTCGACGGTGTTCTGCTTTTGACAAACCACTGTTGTGGTTAGTTTAACATCTTTATTCTGTACCTCATACCATCCTGTGGGCGGTAGTCAAAAGATTACAGAGGTACATAATGGGTCCAGGGACTGGGCCCCAAAGTTATGATAGTTGAACTAGTTACAAAGGTAATGAACTCCAGGTAGATCTGGTCACAATCATGGCAAGTTACAAAGGTAATGAACCATCTACACTCCTATACATGGTTACAATCATGAACAAATTATAAAGTAATGAGCCACTGACACGTCCACACCCGGTCACAATTGTAATGAGTTATAAATACAAATAATAAGTGGGTCATACACCCACACGAGCGCGCACCCACACGAGCCCGAGCGCGCACACACACGAGGGCGCACACACACACACACCCACACACACACACACACACACACACACACACACACACACACACACAGATAGACACAAGCACACGAGCGTACAAACATATACACACACACAAGCACGCACGCACCCCAATGGAAATAAGTCACTCTGACTTTTTTGGGTTATCTTAGGTTCTCTACACATATGCTGCTATGTATGATAATCTATGTAACTGTATTTGTATATACCTGAATAAACTTACACGCACGCGCACGCACGCACACACGCACACACGCACACACGTGGTAATGCTTATTTACAGTGAGCAAAGTCAGGGTATTTCTCCAGAATGGTCTATAATATACCACTGTGGATAAAATACTTTGCCATTTCTTGAACATTTCTGGGTGAGTTGTCTCTAAATTCATTAATTTGATCGCACTCCAGTACATAATGACACAGGGTGTGACAATAGTCCATCTGGCAAAGTTTACATTTCGTTTGGTCTACATCTGGTGGTGGTGACTTAACCTGCCAAAGATACTTGTAACCCAGCCGGAGCCGGGCGGTAGTGACATCCAAGAGTCTGCTTATCTTGTTGGATGCACCATGGACATGTGGCTCCTCCTGCATGTCCTGGAATTTGTATTGATAAAGCCACTGGATGGCGAAAGGTCTACAATAAAGATACCCAGATGTTGCACATGCGTCTCAATTTCAACTTCGCGAGGTATTGTGTAGATAGTCTGAGCAGACAATATTAATATATACACTGTATTGGAATTATATGCAAGCAAAGTGTATACTGGTTTTTGTGCGTGTCTTAGAACTTTTATGTAAAGTATATTTAATACGATTAGTCCGGTGCCGAATTTAGAATGATTATGGTTAACTTATATTTGCCATAAGAGTCAATAGACTTAAAAGTTGAATGTATCATAAAATTTTTATTTCTTAAGTAGATCATAAACATATATGTACGAAATGTCTTCAGTCAATATAGGTTCATCCATTTATTGTATTTCTAGGGGAGCGCTAAACTTGTAGTAGATATACAGAGCCAGGGAGAATGGGAGGCATTCTGGTTGGATCTAAGGACAGTCCAATTCTTTGGATCAAGAGCCTAGCTCTCAATGGCATCAAGGAACCACACGTTCTGCCCTGCTTTGAAAACAGATGCAAACATGTACTGTTGGATTAGACCTTTCTTTTGCAAAGTCTAGTATTTTGTTTTCTGTTGACAACTGAAAAATGATTGTTTTTGTCAAATGCTTCCTGGAGCTTGTCTTCCTGTTAATCCATGATCATGCTCTAGTCCCGATGGATATTCTAAATAAAATTGTTTAGCACTTAAAAAAATTAATGTGATGCTAGATTCATTATTCAGTAGGTTGCTTACCGCTTCGTTAGTACCACTAAGGTTTCTCATCCTATTGCATGAAAAAATATACCATCAGTTAAAAACGTTTCCTCATTCTTACCAAATTTATTTATTTTATAATAAAAAATGCACCATTAATTTTATTTTGTGTATGCATTTAATTATACTTTTCCGTAGGCAACATTTCACCTATTGGCTGCCCATCTAGGTTACGCGTCCCTGTAGGTGGAACTGTGTTCCTATAACAACACTGACTTGATCATAAGTACAACAATAAGACTAACGCTTTCAGAACTCACATCCAAAGCACTTGTAGATCATATCCGCCTTCATGCTAGGCAACTTCAATGCTTGAAGGCATTGCAAGCTGTCTGTAGTGTTGCCCTGCAGGAAGAACATGTACTTCTTCTGTGGCTCAAGAGAGATGGATGGTCCCAGGCGGAAGGGGACAGTCGTGCAGTCGAGGTGGAGGGTTGATTGCTGAGGGGAGGGAGTTGTTTTGCCATAATGATTCAGTAGTGGTTTCTGTAAGGAAACGGTCGTCGGGTTCTTCAATTGGATGGATAATGGTTTCTGTGAAGAAAGGGCCATCTTTTTACTTTCTAAATCACCCTCGTTTTCAGAGCGCAACAAGACCAGGTTAGGACACAACACAATGTGTTCCCCATTCTGAAAAAAACCTTGATGAGCCTTGAGCACGCTCGTAACCAGGATACAAACTTTATAGGTGACATCAAAGGGGGAGGAAGATGTAGAGGTGATATTTTCCACCAAGGCGTAGATCACGGCCGAAGTCTGGTCCAAGAGCCTCTGGTCTTTTTGACATGTAGCACGAACGTCGTCACTCCACAAGATTATGAATCCTGCCAACACCATAACCAGCGCCGCTATTGTCGCCGGAGATGACTTGAACTCCATTCCTACAACTCAAATCGAAGTCTTTTGATTTTATTTGTATAGAAAAAAAAGTTAAAAAATAAAAATGCTTGCCGAATGAATGTGACGTCTTACCGAGAGCTTGGACGCCTGACAACTAATATCTTTTAACTCTGAAGCGATTGTTTATAATTATGTCGAAACCCCGGAAATTGATTTAAGGCAAGCATTTTTAGTTGGATAGGAGAGAAACTGTCTTCCCGTGTCGCAACGAATTAACTTTAGATTGGAAGCAATCTAGTGGAGCGTCCCTCATTCTTCTTGATCACTCCATTCGCGTTTATGTAAAAATTTGAATATACAACAGATGATGCCCCCATGTCCTACTTCACTTCCACTTATATAAAAGAGGAGATATATATGTAACTTACATATCTCCTCTTTCAGAGGAGATATCTTAATGTTCGTGAAATTCGTATTTCTACAGATTATATTTGGTGTCCCTTCAGCATAGACATCACCTATCAAAGAGAACATAACTTATCAGAGAAAAATTCTCTACACAACTTCACTCCTCTCTAAACAATCCTCTACTCTTCCCCATATAATCTCCAAAGCATGATAATTATTTTTTTGTAATAAGCAACAAATTTTAAATGATCAGTTTTAACATTTATAGTGCCGTGTAAACATTTTCAGTGTTCTGTGAAGATTTTTTAGTGGTGTGTAAATAGATCCAGTGTTATGTAAACAGTTCTGGTGTTATGTAACTTACACAGATCCACGTAGCTAATTTTCATTGCCTTAGAGATGTTATTTTACGTCTTATCTGCAACCTGGTTCTAGCCAGGATGTCACGCACAAAAGTTGACTAACATCCAGGTACTTACTGATAGGTGAACAGGAACAGCAGGTGCATGATGAGTTACACACCTCTGCTCATCTGGGAATCGAACTCGGGACTCGCCGATATGAAAATAGTTTCATCCGTTCATAACTTTACATCATATTCATGGAAAATCGCTAAACCCGTATGGGTTGTACAGCGCCTGAAGAGGAAATCAAGTCTGATTCATGGAAGGTAACAACGATTCCTTAAATCAAGGGTCCTTCACAAACGCCCTGGAATCTTGACTGGTTTTATGTTTATGTTTTAGCGCTGTATAACCCATAAGAGTTTAGATTTTTTTTTAACAGCAAGAGTTAGCAAGTGTAGCTGAGGCAGAGTGGTGTTAGTAGAAGGAGGCTTCTGGCCGTGCTCTAAGCCTAAGACTCCCTCAGGCAATCTCAAGCAAGGGCGGTGCCATAGTGTCAGCGTGCTGAACAAACAACTTTAATACTAACATTCTATTTCCAGGATCATGTCAACGTCTTTACTTTTGTTACCGTACATGGCTATGCACGTATACATGTCGGCAACTGCACCAAAGATGGTTGCAGTAAAGCCTCTCCGTGGGTCGTAGCTATCGGATAAGTCCTAGGGAGAAGGAAGAGTGAAGCTGACGGGGTGTTCAAGACTTCCTGCTCGAGTATACAAACCTTGATGTAAGGATTCATCTAAACTGCCAAGTGTTACATTTTTGCATCAAGGTCACAATTCTACTCACGTGCCATTAATATGCAAGCACATACTTGCTGCAAGAATTCTTAAAATCTCCCTATTCATCATTCATCTAATCCCAAGATACATTAATATGTCGCTCCTATATATTTCCTAATCTAAATCTCTCAGGTCATAAGAAATGAGTTTCACCATATATCAATAACATTGTTTAAGGAACACTATGGATTAAAGATCCGTGTGGGTAGGCTACAGTAGACAAGTGATTATATATAATATCATTACTAATATTATTATAATCAAGAGCCCTAAGTCTTAGACTCGTTTAGCGCTTAAGGAAATGGGAAGCAATCCGGTTCAGTCCAAGGAAAGAGAATATCCAAATCATGGAGCAACAGCCCCCTTCCCCAACACGTCGGCAAAGTCACCTCCCTTTAGAAAACAGTTTTGATCTTCTATCCAAACAGCCTGTATGCGTTGAAAACTATATGTAGACTGAGCGAGAACTGTGGCTAAGCCGGTATAATCATGAACTTGCCATTGTAAGGTCGCTGCTTGTCCCCAGTGCTCCTCACACCAAAATTTAATCTACATTATGTATACTAACACATTGACAAATTTAACATTGCTGAATGTGACAAAAGAGACGGTAAAGAACTTACTAAGTCGCCATGAATTTTCTCCATTGTGATCTGCACCTCAGGGAAGGTTGGCTTACAGGGAAAAGTGAATTCCTGGTTAACTCTTCCGTAGAACGTCAGAGCCAACGCTTCCTTAGCCAGCAGGTTGTCGACGTCTGTGAGTTGAGTAGTGCATTAGCTTCATTTGATACACATCCACCAACATGCTGCCCGACACCAAAGTACATAACACACTGCACAAAGATGCCGGCCATCTCTAACCTATATCACTCACCTTTAACGTAGACGTAAACAGAGGTGACGAGGGGGTCAGTAACGTTACAGATTTTTTTTATTTTGTTCTCGGTGGTGTTGTGGATGCAAGAGTAGTAACCCACATAAGTGTAGTTGATGTTCTCCACCTGGGAAGAGAGAGTTAACATTTTATACATCAGCAGTATGCTGCTACCCTTTTCTATATGTGAGTTTCAATCGTGGGAACACCCGCAGTGCGAATATATTAGTATACACACTCAAACACACATATATATCCGGTACATACAACAGCAGAGAGTATAATTTGAAAAGCGCAGTCACAGGATGAAGGTGAACACCGTGAGTAGACACATCACATGCTTTATGTGCAAGATTAACGTGTTGCAACTGGCTCGTTACATCACAATAACACACATGTACAATGAATTTAAAATGATAATAATAAGGCTAAGTTAAAAGAAAACTGTAATGTAACTATGACAAGAATAATCTATAAAGACAGATTACAGGAATAATGACAAGTTAACACAGAACCGAAACTAAAAGTTACGTAAAAAAAAAAAGTGAAAAAATTCGCATTAAACATACCTTGATACAAAATACCGAAAATATGACTTACGTTATCAGTAACAGGAATAACTTTTAGAAATTGCAAAAATATTAAAATTAGACAACTCACATCAAACACACCTAGAAACGTAACAGCTGTACCAAGCTCTGGTTACCAGCTGCACCATGCTTGTGGAGGTGTGGCAGGCCAACTGACTAACCACCAGCTAAAACTGAGAAGCCGAGGTTGGTTAATGGGGTTCAAAACCTATTGATGACTACTATAGGGACATTAATTAAGGCTGCATGTCAAACGCTCACTACTAGTCAATTCTTTAATTTCTTCACGAAGCCATTTTTTAATATTTCACTTCCTTTACCATCCCATTGTTTTAACAGCACAAATAAGTATATTTATTTTGCAATACGGTACACAAAGCTTAAAGGGATATATTCATGGTACACAGATGGAATATACAGAACATGGTGTCCCATGACTCCGTTGGCATCACTTTTTCCTCACACATTAAGTGTCCGTGATTCAATCCCCGGTACGGGTGGAAACGTTGGGCATGTCTCCTTACACCTACTGTCCCTGTTGACCTAGCAGTAAGTAGGTACCTGGGTATTAACTGACTGGTGTGGGTCGCATCCTGAGGTGCAAGATTTAAAGGACCCAAATGGAAATAAAACAAGACAGTCCTCGATGGCGCACTGTTTTTGTTGAATTTTCTTGGGTGACATCCTCCCCCGGGTTAAAAATAAAAATTAACCTTATCCTCACATGAAGTTTGATGGACACATTATAAATACACATGTGTCTGTCAAAATTTACATTGCAAATATCTCATCCAACCCCTCAGAACTAGAGCGAATAGGGGTTATACAGCACCTGATGAAAAGATTTATTACCAGTGTTTGGATCGTACTGTGCGAGCCTAGTCAGGAGATAACTAGGGAACACTTGTCACATAATGCGTATTTACCTGAGGTCCAGGAGATGGCAAGTGTAGCTGAAGATTGTAATAACTCATTTGTAGAGAAGGAATCGGGAGGAATGACATGAAAAGAGGTATGGCGTGCATGAAGTGCCTAATCTGCACCTCAAGTTACAACCAGGATAGTCGAACAGGTCAGTTATTAGAACGGGAAGCAGCTAAAACAGAGGAAATGATCACTGTTACGAAGATCATTGATTACAGTCCAATGGAATTTGAGCGCACTGGAGGAGCAGATAAAAAATTCTATACATTAGAGAGTATAGGGGTCGGGATCTCGCTGTGTTGGAACACTATTATTCAAGCCGAAAAAGTAGAAGGGTGAGAAAAAGATACTAAGAGGTTTCCACGAAAGACGCATTGCGATCGACCCCATAGCAAATTGATGAGAGTTAAACTCACCTGATGAAAGGAGAGATGCAGGTAAGGACAGTATCAAAGAACGCGCATCATTTAAAGTCAAGGGACTTGAAAGAAAAAGCTACGACAAGGAAAACACAGTCAGACACGTGCTTAATCGTAGTGATGTATGAACGTAGATTCGAGAATGGGATCATTGCTCACTAAAAGTACAGTTAAACTGTATGTCTCTGGAAAAGTCAGGTGACTATAAAATACGTAGAAAAATGGGAATTCCGACTGTTACGAATTGTTATTGTTATAGTCAAGGGGCAAGTGCTAAACCCGTAGGATTACGAAGTTTAGGTTCTTGTAAACAAATACAGACAGGGAAAAACTGGGAGATGAACGTTGGGAGCTCCTCCCAAATCCCCCTATAATTTTTAATATTCCATTGTAATATCGTTATTATTGGTCACTAGTAATACAGTTGTATTGAAAAGCAGATGCTACCTAATGGCTAAGGCGGTCTGTTAGGCGGTAGAGGTATATTAGTACTAAGGTCTCATTAGTCGATTACAGATACATCAGTACTAGTGAAAGGCGAAGTGGAGAGGTAGTTAATGTAATCAGTCCATCACCCTCAGAACAAAATAATAAGTCTCTTATACCAGTGCAGAAGCAAGTAGCTAGAGGCTTAAAATTATACTGGAAAGTGAAGTGTAGCAGCTTGGAGATGAGGTCACAGGTGAGCTGGGCCTTCTAGTTGAAGTAGATCATGCTAAGCAGTTGTTAGCAGCTGAGTAGTCGCAGCCATCCTTGGTACCAAAAAACCATAGTGTCGCAGTGTAAAAAAAAATATGAATAAATCAGAATTTGTAGAAGTTATGCAACGCCAGGGAATGAAGGGAAAATGGGTTTACCATTTTTGATCAGGGGAAGAGCACAGATCCAATTTCTTGAAATGTTGAGGAATTTACCCCATTATTGAAGGGAATGGGGTGAGAGAAACTTTCCTGGCCATATGAGAACATATTATGGGATTCACCTGTCTCACCCAGTAGTTAAGGTGACACTACAGGACACCCTGCAGGACAGTGTCTTGACATGTAAGCCATACATATATTTCATAAGCCTTTAACAACATACTGACAGCAATGGCACGTTGAGTCACACCCTGTAACTATAACCATATTAGTTGGCTGTCACAGTTGTCAATGCAACATGTGGCTATCCTTATAAATAAATGTCTCCAGGTCAACCATTTCGTTACCCTAGCATCAACAGACTAAAGGTACTCGTTATGAATACGCTCCGTATCACGGGATTTACCTATACCAGAATTGTTGCTGTGGTAGTTAAATTACCACTATAAGCAACCAATGGTAACAATCGAATCAAT